GATAGGACAGGAAGGAGCAGGAAGGGGAAGCCTCCTTCACAGACGGAACAGCCATGACAAGGCGAGGGCGACTGGCCAAAGACAAGAGGCCAGAGGCCTGTCTGAGTGGCTGCCACTGGGGGCCCCGCCTGCACCCCTCCCTGGTCTCACTGGTGTGCAGGTGGCCCTATCCCTGTCCCCCGCCAGCACTCACCAGCAGGACAATGCTCCCAAAGTAGGTGGCCCTCAGCAGTATGTCCAGGTCATGGGGCACCTGAACAGGGGAATCAGGAGTGAGGGAGTGAGCTCTGTCACAGACCCTCTTTTGCCCATCCCACACACAGGCCCTGACATACCTTGTCCCCCACCAGCGACAGTTGCAGGGCCCCCGCCCGGAAGTAGCTCTCCATGGCAGAGTCGAAGAAGAACTCAGAGAAGGCCACATACACCATCCGCTCCTCCTCCTGCAGCTGGGGTTCCACTGCCCGGTTGGGGAGGCTCCAGTTCCTCTCGGTCAGGGGGAAGAAGGCCCCCTGGGGTGGGGCATTCACGGTCAGGGTCAAGGCAGACTGGCCTGGCACCTGGACTGACAGCAGGTGTCTCCCAGCCCTGTGCTAGGCACTGTGGGGAGACAGTGGGAACCCAGCTGCTGTTCTTGGGGCACTCACAAGCACATCTCTTAAAAGGCATTGAAAGGAGGACACCTGCTATCAGGGGGCGAGCCCGTCACACTGGAAGAGGGAGGGTCAGGAAAGGTTTCATGGAAGAGGTGGCATCTGAGTGGGTCTTGAAAGCCAGAGGCAGTAACAACAGCTACTATTTACATATAGTGTGCATACTCATGCTTCTGTGCCAAGTACTGTAAGCTCTTCACATAGATCAACTCCTTTACTCTGCATTAACTACGTGTGCTTTCTTACTAGATTATTTCCATTTACGTGTTAGGAAACTGGCCAACTGAAAAGTTATGCTTAGGGCCATGCAGCTAGTCAGTGGCAGAGCTAGGATTTGAACTTCAGGCATTCTTTTTCTTTTTGTAGAGAAGGAGGTCTCACTATGATGCCCCAGCTGGTCTCAAACTCCTGGGCTCAAGCGATCCTCTGGCCTGGGTCTCCCAAAGTATTGGGATTACAGGCATGAGCCACTGCACCCGACTGATTCTAGCTCCCAAGTCTGCACTCTGAAACTGCTATACTACTCTGGGAGACCAAAGGTAATGGCTACACACTAGCTATGTGGCCTTGGGCAAGTGATGTCACCTCTATAAGTAAGTCTCCACATTCCTAAAATGAGGATGATGTTAGTACCTGACTCACAGGGTTGTGAGAGAATGAAATGAGATGATTTGTGTAGAAATTTGTGTCCAGCTCCTTCAGGGGAGTTGGGGAAAGACCATGCATGAGCAAAGGCCCTGAGGTGGGAAGCGAGGGTCCAATTTGGGAAAGAGCAGCTGCAAAGAAACAGGATGAGATATAAAAGGTGGGGCCAGGTAAGATTAACAGGGCTCAAATACCAGATCCAGGAGGCTGAACCTAATTCTGTAGTAATAGGGAGCCATAGCATTCTCAGCAATGAGAGTGGCCTCATCAGAGCTGTGCTTTAGGAAGTAAAATCTCACAACTTAGCGGAGAAAGAGGTCCTGTTAGGAGGTCAGAGGTCATACACCAGCCCGAGCAGCTCACCCGGAAGTCCATGTCCAGGTTGCTGGTGGAAGCCACAGGATCCTTCATGAGGGAATAGTCAATGCCAACAAGCTCGTCCACAGAACTGCGCACTGCAGGAAGAGGCTCAAGTCACTCACAGCTGTGTGATGTGGGACAAGGTGCTTAACCTCTCCAGGCTCAGAGTCCCACCCATAAAATGAGGATACATCCCTCGCAGGGTTGTCAGGAGGGTCAAATTAGTTTTATGTGGAAAGCACTTAGGGCCTGCTGTGTAGTAAGTGCCCATTAATGTTAGTTATTATTATTACTACTACCACAGAGGTTTCATCAAATCACTAAAAAGATGGCATGGGGGCGCCGCGCACTGTGGCTCACACCTGTAATCCCAGCACTTAGGGAGGCCAAGGCAGGCAGATCACCTGAGGTCAGAGTTCGAGACCAGCCTGGTCCACCATGGTGAAACCCCGTCTCTACTAAAAATACAAAAATTAGCTGGGCGTGGTGGTGGGCGCCTGTAATCCCAGCTACTCGGGAGGCTGAGGCAGGAGAATCGCTTGAATCTGGGAGGTGGAGGTTGCAGGGAGCCAGGATTGCACCACTGTACTCCAGCCTGGGTGACAGAGTGAGACTCCATCTCAAAAAAAATAAAAGAGGAAAAAAAGATGGCATGGGGTTCCTTTCCCTTGGTTTCTCCTACCTCCTTCTTCTCTTCTCCTGCCTGTATGTTGGGTGTGATGGGACAATAACTTTGCCCCACAGTAGACAGAGGTCATGGCTTAGAAAAAGGGAATTCATGGCCAGGCACAGTGGCTCATGCCTGTAATCCCAGCACTTTGGGAGGCCAAGGTGGGCGGATCACGAGGTCAGGAGATTGAGACCATCCCGGCCAACGTGGTGAAACCCTGTCTCTACTAAAATACAAAAACTTAGTCGGGCATGGTGGTGCACGCCTGTAGTCCCAGCTACTCGGGATGCCGAGGCAGGGGAATCGCTTGAACCCGGGAGGTGGAGACTGCAGTGAGCTGAGATCGCGCCACTGGACTCCAGCCTGGCAACAGAGTGAGACTCCATATCAAAAAAAAAAAAAAGGGAAAAAGGGAATTAATGTATTCATGTTAATTGAGCACCTATTAGGTGCTAGGTGATGAAGACAAATGGGACGCCAGTGATTAGCACGCACATAATGAGGACCTTGACAACTATTCTCTCAGATAATCCTCACGGTAACTCCAGGAGGAAGCACTGCCAGGCAAGTGAGGAAACAAGCACTTTGCCCAGAGAGAAATGAGCACTTTACCCAAAATCACACAGCAAGTCACCTCCAGGGGCCACATTTGAACCCAGGACTGTTCGACAGCAGGGCTTGGAAGGGGCCTGCTCTGAGGTGCTGCATGACAGCTGCACACCTGGCCTCACCCCCAACCAACTCACCAGGCACGGTGTCCAGGAGGGCGTTGAGCAGGACCGTCCCTGTGTGGTAGAGTACGGGGCAGATCTGCGAGGTGGGAGCCAGAGTCAGGGCCTTCTCAAAGTGAGACCAGGCCCGCCCTTGCCACCCTGCGACCTGTCACTGCCCACACCTGCTGGTTGAGGAGGAAGCGCATCCCTGAGGTGATGAACGTGGAGAGAAAATCATACACCTTCCTGTGAGCAAAGGAGAGGCCGGGTGAGCCCAGAACCTGCCTCCACCCCAGTCCAGGTCCAGGAGAAATCAGAGACCAGGGAAATAGTGGCAGTGGGATTCCTCAGCATCAGCCTGAATAACAGGTCCTCCACATAGGTTTTCCAAGAACCAGGCCCGAATTCCCTCTCCAGCATAATTCTCAAGACCTCCCGCTGGTCCCATCAGCCAAATGAATCCACCCACATTGCCTCAAACCCGCTCTGAGCATCCCCACATCCATCCGCTTACTGATCCGCTTACAACCCTTCCACCCTCTGCGTTCCTACCCTGTATTTCCCCATCTGAGCTCAGATGCTTCCTCTTCCAGGCAGTCTTCCCAGATTCCTCTCCTCTGAATCCCCAAAGCACTTTCTTAGTCCTTCTCTGCAGGCCCTGATAACAAATGCTTTTTATTCCAGATAGGCTGAGCTTCTTCCTGCATCCTCAGGGCCTGGCATACACTTTGATGAATAAATAATACTGACAGTATACCAACACCAGGCAATAATCCATCATCTTCTTTCCCCAACTGTCTTCCAGAACAAGAACAGTATCCCCTTCTCAGCGGCAAAAATAAAAAAATAGGCCAGGCACAGTGGCTCACACCTGTAATCCCAGCACTGTGGTAGGCCAAGGCAGGCGGACCACCTGAGGTCAGGAGTTTGAGACTAACTTGGCCAATATGGCAAAACCCTGTCTCTACTAAAAATACAGAAAAAGTAGCTGGGCATGGTGGCGCATGCCTGTAGTCCCAGCTACTTGGGAGGCTTAGGCAGGAGAATCACTTGAACCCGGGAGGCGGAGGTTGCAGTGAGCCGAGATTGTGCCACTGCACTCTAGCCTGGTGACAGAACAAGACTCCATCTCAAAAAAAAAAAAGTATTATTTTTGTTATTATTATTTAGAGACACCAATTATTGAGAATCCAGTACATGGCCAGCTATGCATATTAGTCCTCACAATTACTCTTATCTAAGTGGCCAGCACTTAAATATGCATTTATCATATGCCAGGTGCTGTTCTAAAATTTTTTTTTTTTGAGATGGGGTCTTGCTCTGTCGCCAGGCCAGAGTGCAGTAGCACAATCTCGGCTCACTGCAACCTCCGCCTCCCGGGTTCAAGCGATTCTCCTACCTCAGCCTCCCATGCAGCTGGGACTACAGGCGCCCGCCACCACACTCAGCTAATTTTTGTATTTTTAGTAGAGACAGGGTTTCACCATGCTGGCCAGGATGGCCTCGATCTGTTGACCTCATGACTCGCCCGCCTTGACCTCCCAAATTGCTGGGATTACAGGCGTGAGCCACCGCACCCAGCCTTGTTCTAAATATTTTTACATATACCAACACAAATAATACTGGCAATGACCTTATAAAATAGGCTTTATCATTATCCCCATGTTACCAATGAGGATACTGAGGCACCGAGCTTCAGCGATGTGGCCAAGTTCACACAGCCAGGAAGTGACAGAGCTGAGCTTTGGACACAGTTGGTCTGATTCCCAAGCCTGTGCACTTTGCATTGTGCTAGGCAGATGAGCTGTGGGGCTCAAAAGGGGTAAGCTGGGGTTGGGGCTGGGGCTTACTTGAAGGTTCCCCCGAAGGCCGCGTGCATTCTGGAGACAGAGGCCTGGCAGGAGACATTGGACACTTTCATCCGTCCAGCAGGATCCCGGGAGAGCTCCAGACCAGTGCGGATGGACACACCCTCAGCTGAGGCGTTGATGTAGCCACCATCATAGCTGCCAAGGGGGTTAATATTCACTCCAGGTAGGAGCTCAGTTGAGTCTTCAGTGCCCCTTGCATCATGATACCTCCTAATAAGGTTTCACTTCCTTCCACACATCCTACCAAACCCTCCTATCAACTCTTATGAAATGGGTATGCTTGTCCCCATTATACAGATGAAGAAACTTAAACTCAGGAAGGCTAAGGGGGCTGCCCACAGCCCCACAGCACTTCCAGCCCTCCCTACCAACTCTCCACTCCCCTGAGGGTGCTGGGTCCTTACAAGAACCAGTAGAGCAGCTGTCTCCGAAAGCGCAGCCCCAAGGAGGCGTTGGTGATTTGTAGCATCAGCTCCTGCTGTGGCTGGAAATCGAGCTCGGAAGATGTCAGCTGCAGCTCTGTGACCTTCACCCTACGGGAGGCCTCAGGGTCAGATCTAGGGCCAAGAAGAGGAAACTCCCCCCAACCACAGGAAATTTGTCTGCTCCCCTTTCAAGTCCAGGTCTGGGGAAGCGGGAGTGGGTAGAATGAATTCTTCCATTGTCCCTCAAGTACCCAATTTAGACTTGGGTGGCTCAAAGTTGAACTTGGGTGGCTGAGAGATGAGGTCTTCCTGATGCAGGTGTTAAAAGGGAGCTTCACCCCATCACTTAGAAGTCTTGTTTGTTTGTTTGCCGGGCGTGGTGGCTCATGCCTGTAATCCCAGCACTTTGGGAGGCCGAGGCGGGCAAATCACTTGAGGTCAGGAGTTCGAAAGTCTAGCCAACATAGTGAAACCCCTGTCTTTACTAAAAATACAAAACTTAGCAGAGCGTGGTGGCACGCGCCTGTAGTCATAGCTACTCGGGAGGCCAAGGCAGGAGAATCACTTGAGCTGGGGATGCGGAAGTCGCAGTGAGCCAAGATCGCGCCACTGCACTCCAGCCTGGGCAACAGAGCAAGACTCCCTCTCAGAAAAAAAAAAAAAAAAAAGTCTTGTTTGCTTGCAACCCCTCCCCTCCCACACCCTGGGGTTCCCTCACCCGGTCTTTTAATAGAGTCCATTCACTTTGCCTCCATCACCTAAGCTCCGCCCTCATATCTCAATTCCCTTATTCCCCCTCCCTCATCCTAAACCATACTTAGAGTCTTCAGTTCCCCCACCCCTCCCATTATCTCCACCCGGTGCCCAAGACTCCACTCTCATCTATTGGCAAGTTCCTTGACTCCACCTTTCTGGTGCTCTTCGGCCACGCCTCACATCTACCGGTCCTGCTTCCTTCCTGGCCCCCTCGACGTTTTCAAAGCCACGCCCATCTGCCCGGTCCCGCCTATGATGGCTGGCTTGGCCTTTATCTTTTCGGCCCCATCCGGTTTCTTAAGTCGTGCCTCATCGGTTTGGCCACTCCCCCTCCCACTCAGCCTCCAGTCTCCCGGGACCCCGAGATTTCTTGGGCCCCGCCTCCACCGCCGAGGCCCCGCCCCGGATCGCGAGGCCCCGCCCCCCACTTACTCAGAGATGTTGTAGTAGAAGTGGCCTTCTTTGCCCCGCAGGTCCGGAATGGTGATGGTCTCCAGCTCTTGTTCCAGAAAGCGCAGTCCCTCTTGCTTCACTGAGGCAGCAGCGAAACCCTTAGCTCCCGTGCCCACTGGGGCGACCCCAACCCCGTCCGCTCCCGTCCGTCCCTGTCTGCCTCTGCGCCTTACCCAGCTCCAGTGCCTTGGAGGTGACGCGGATCTTGCAGCCTGGGAACTCTGCGTGAGCGCCTGCCAGCAGCGCCAGGAAGAGAGCCCCGAAGAGGGCCATGGCGAGCGGGCCTGGGGGTGGGGTGGGGTCGCAGGAGTTATCTGAGCCGCTTAAACCCATTCCTTGGACGTCCAGCCATAAGTGGGAACTAGCCTGGATCGTGGCCCTCCAGATAACTCTTCGGGGAACTTGGAACCAATAATCTTGCCTCCATTTGGCAGATGTGGAAACTGAGGCTCAGAGAGGCAATGCGACTTGCGTTCTGGCTCCCAGAGGATTTGGGACACGGGGGAGGGGACGTCCCCAGTTCCCTCGTGCTACCGCCGCGTGATGAGTTTGGACCTCCAGGGGACCAGCCCCCACACCCCCAACAACCTCCCCTTTCCTTTAGCGGTGGGCTCGCGCAGGCTTGCACGTTGCCACGGCAACGACTGCACGCGCATTCCTGGAGGGTGGCTTGCGGTCTCCTAGGCCTCGCGCCCGGGGAGGAGACGAGGTGGCCGACCAGACCGTGGGCTCCCGGGTCTCCCGGCTCCCTCAGGTCCTAAATCTCTCCCGTTAGAGTCTGCCTGGAGCCCCCCATGTTAGCGTTCTCCTTCATCGGCTCTCCTCCCCGTCCCGGCTTCAGTGCACCACGCGGCTCGGCGAGGGACTGTGGACGGGATGGGGACGCGCCCCAACTCACTCAGCGGTGGAGCTGGGGGGCGGCGCGGTCACGTGGGGTGGCGGGCAGCTCAAGGTATCCGGGCGACGGGGTCTGGCGGGCAGGGCTGTTCCAGCCGCCCTTATAAAGCCGGGCCTCCCCGACCCCTCCTCCTCCTCTCTGCAGCTCTCCCCTCCTCCCTTGGGGGCTGGGAGGGGACGGGGCGGGACGCTGGCAGCCAGGAGAGTGGAAAAGGCTGTACAGAGCCCCGTGACAAGTCCGGCCGCTGTCTGGACAAGTGGGGGACCCAAGCCCAGGGAGAGGGAAGGAAGTGCAGGAGCCCTCCCATTCAGCCCCAACAATCTCGCTTTGCTGGGACCTCGGTTCAAATTACAATTACCCATGTCTTCCTGCAGGATCTTGGGCAAGTCACTTCACTTGGGTCACTGACCCTCGGTTTCTTCCTTCAGCGAAATGTGCACGATGATAGGAACTACCTCTTCAGCCTTTATTGCAACCAGGTCCAGGCACAAAGTCAAGGAATATTTTTCCCTTCCCTGCCACCCACAATCATCTCAGGACCTCCTTGCCTGGCTTTGCTATGGGCCCCCCTACCTGTCTCTGTGTCACCATCTGGGGACCTTAAGGTCCCAGAGACCTTTCCCACTTGGAAAAGCAAGTCTAGGCAAGTGCTGTCAGCCCAGGAACATACCACACCAGCTGAAATCACTCCAGAGGGAGGTCTGCCATTTCTTATGGCTGGTGGATTTTTTTTTTTTTTTTTTTTTTTTTGAGGTGGAGTCTCACTCTGCCGCCCAGGCTGGAGTGCAGTGGCATGATCTCGGCTCACTGCAACCTCCACCTCCTAGGTCCAAGCAATTCTCCTGTCTCAGCCTCCTGAGTAGCTGGGACTATAGGTGCCCACCACCACTCCCGCCTAATTTTTGTATTTTTAGAAGAGATGAGGTTTCACCATATTGGTCAGGTTGATCTCCAACTCCTGATCTCAGATAATCCATTAGTGGATTTTTTAATGAACCTTTGGAGCAAGGTGCTTTGAACAGCACCCCTGCCCCCACCCTCACCTCCACCTATTGCTTACAGGGTTCCTGGACCCTAGGACAGGGCACAGAGTGGGTGCTTGCCACCTGTTTGTTACCAAATGGATGAAAGAAAGGGGAAGCAATAATCATGTCTGCTGAGCATGTATTTTGCACCAAGCACTCATCTAGGAAGGATGACTAACTTGTCCTGATTTGCCTAGGACTTTCCCCATTGTGTCTTTTTTTTTTTTTTTTTGCTGATATAACCCACAGATTCACAAAAATAGTTCCATTTCCTTTTTTATTTAATTAATTAATTAATTATTTTTTGGAGACAGGGTCTTGCTCTGTCACCAGGCTGCCGTGCAGTGGTGCAATCAAGGCTCACTGAAGCCTCCACCCCTTGGGCTCAACTGATCTTCCCACCTCAGCCTCC